AACCCTAAACCCTGAACCCTAAAGAGATACACGGATGCCAAAGCCTGAGTTCAGGTCACGATATGGGGTATAGGATGGACCATGTTCTGGTCGGGTGGTTGCTTTGGTGTGGGAATAGTGGTGGGGGTTTTAGGGTTCAGGGGTTTAGGGTTTAGGGGTTTAGGGGTTTAGGGGTTTAGGGTTTAGGGCTGTATTGAATGAGGGTGTGGGTTTGTGCGATTGCTTCGGTTTGGGTTCTATTGAGATTGGGGGCGTTGTCGGATACTGATTGAGAGATGGCGTGCCAGTGTGGGGGGGGGTTCCGCCGAACCCATGCTCCAGTTCTTGAGAGGATGGATCCTCTTGCTTTCCTTGGCGGCCGGCAGTACGGAGGTTCACGGAGTTTGGGCTTGTCTGCAGCTGAAACTACAGGGCTTGGGGCTTACAGCTTGAATGCTGCAGTTCCTCTCCGTGTTTGCCATCATTTGCCAAGTCAGTTGCTTCTACAACAACTGCCAGGGGCCCAACTGCAGGAAGTACCCGCAGCTGTGCGCTGACACGACCCGACCTCGGGGCTGTCTGGCCAGCCAAACATACTCGGCAAGCCCAGTTCTTCTTTAGTCAATGAGGCGTTCTTTTTGCTGTCCTTTGCCATACGTGTGATGAACCGTGCTGGGCAACCGCATAGAGGCCATCAAATAATGAGTTAGTGGTTGTGGTGATCCATGGTGCTGGTGAAGGGGATGGCAGGGGTATCAGTGGTATCGATTGTGATCATGGTGGTGATGGCGATGCTGATTGCGACGGTGGCGATGACAACCGCTATGACGGCTATGAGCTCATATGATGATACATAGCCTACATTTCATCGCTGCATATGGCAATGCTTGCCAAAATCACACTCGTGTGATGATTGCTGTTAGGACCGCGCCTAGGTAGGCATGTTCGCTGGACTATCGTAAACTTCGCTGTGCTGCACTACGTCGGTGTTTGCACGGAGTTGTTGATCAATGAAACCATACTGAGCCCCTTTCACAGTCGTAATCAGGGGAGTGCTGAGGTCCGGCTACGTTGTGGTTCTCGATGCCGGGAGTACTGGCACCAGAGTGCATGTCCGCATCTCAGAGGAGGCTTCGCACGTCTTTGCCATAAAGCTCATGCGATTGTCTTTTCGGCCTTGCGCGAGGAGAGTAGCCTACTTTCTGACAGGCTCGGCGAAGATTAGGCAGACGGCATCTGCATGTTGGCCTCCCTGGTTTTGCGAGGTCTTCAACTACGAGTATCGCCAGCTCGAGCCGCGGCGCTTTCCTCTCATCGTCAGCCCTCCGTTGACACTGCCATCAGGCTCTGGTCAGTTTGGGGACCACCCTAGGGTTCCTTTCGGGGGGTTGCCAGCAAAAGTTATTGGCAGAAGGCCCATCGTCCAGAGGTTTGAGACAAACCATTGGTGAACACCAGGCAGGCACATAGATCAGATTCTGGCGTCTGCCTGTAGACAGTCGTCCATGCATTTCGCGAGCGCGAATCTCTACACCGAATGGTCATATGCTCTGAAATCGGCAAGTCTTGCTCGGAAAAGCCCCATCCAGCTACGCCTATGTCCTACCTACGTGAAGAATGGCTTGTATTTGTGTGTTGATGGGTGTTTGTGGGGCTCCTTGTGACTTTCTTGTGAAACTTGTTGAAGGTGCATTTTGATTATGGGGATACTGGTGCACACAACTCATCCTCAAATCAAAGCTTGCAACCCCCTAAACCCTAAACCCTAAACCCTAAACCCTGAACCCTGAACCCTGAACCCTGAACCTGAACCCTGAACCCAACATCCGCTGGCCAGAAATCGCAGTGGCCTCACGGAAACCGGGTCTTTCCTCCATGGTTGACGACGCAGCAGCCATCAGAAGGCTGGGTTCAGGGTGGATCCTGCGCATCCCTAAACCCTTCTCCCCCAGTCCTAGGGTGCAATGTAGGGGCCTTAAGAATTAGAATAGGGTTTTGGGCTCCGTTATAGCATAATATAAGAAGGAACCCTATTCAGGCATAATCTTGGTAATTCTTGAGGCTTCTATATTAATGTGTCACCTCCGGCAGTTGATTTCGTGACCCCCCTTCAGTGTGAAGGTTCCCGGGGCTGAGGCAAGGGTTTAGGGTTTATCAGGTTTGTACAGTCCCGTTTGCTACAGGTCAGTTGAAGATTAGGATCTGCTTTAGCTGATGGCCTGGAGGTAAGAAACTGTGACCTAAATGTGGATTGTCGGATTCGATGAGGTCTGAGGTTGGGGTTGCATGTTTTGGAGAGCCTTTCGATGGGCTTTCGAGAGGTCAGAGTCTTGGTGGCAGCCGGCCCACCAAAACTCCCAAGCTTCGGCGAAGCTTTGGCGCATTCTGGGCGCCCTCTCCTGTCTTTATGGACTTCGCCGACTTTGATGAGATTAACATATCCCACTTTCAGCTTCTTCCCCGCCTGGGCTTCTACTTTCCTCTTCCTGGTCTTCTCCTGGCATCTTCCTGGCCTCTTCCGAGTGGTTTCCAGGATTTGTCCTCCAAGGCTCAAGCTTCAGGCATGAGGGCCTTAGCAATCAATCAACCATTCAGTCAACCAATCTGTCGATCGAACAATCATTCAATCAACCAATCAACCAATCAACCAATCAATCCATCAACCAACCAACCAACCCACCAAGCAAGCAACCGAACAATCAGTCAATCAAGCAAGCATGCATGCAAGCAAGCAAGACATCAATCAATCGATCAGCTAAGTAAGCAATCAATGAATCAATCAACCCACCAGTCAATGTACACATGCATTCGTTTGTCAGTACATAGACCCATAGCCTATATATCTTTTTCTAAAACGGGTGAAATAATATGTCGCATCTGTATCTAAGTCTATAGCCACATATATGTATATGCACATGTTTGTACATATGTACACATATATATATATATATACACATACATAGGTGTGTGTGTGTGGGTGCATGTATATATCTCTCTATCTCTGTATCTGTTTCTCTGTGTCTTGGTATGTACATATACACATGCATGCATGTATGTATGTATGTATGTATGTATGTATGTATGTATGTATGTATGTATGCATGCATGCATGCCTGCATTCATTGATTGACACATGAAGGGATGAACGTATGGTTGGATAGATGGATGGATGGATGGATGGATGGATAAGGCTCGTACACTAGCTTGCCGAATGAAGCAAAGCCCTAGCTTCTAGAGAGCCAAGTGCTGATTTGCACATCCTGAGCTCGAGTTTGCTCCTGCCGTGGAAGCGTTCAAGCAACCAGACATGAGGGAGTTGCTGTCAATCAGGTTCGCATGTAGCCTAGACTAGCCCAAGACTTTAACCCCAGCTCTTGCAGAGGCTGTTTGTCCTAAAACCGTCCGTGTTTGAGACCTTGCCGCCATGGCGCTTCTTGCCGAAGCTGGCGTCGGGGTTCCCAGAAGATTCGTGCACACTTCCGGGCTGTTGGGCTTGGGACTGCCTCCCAAGGTGCGAGAAAGCTGTCGAGAACTCTAAGCAAAGGTATGAGACAGCGTCCCAGACGACCAGCCCATAATGCGTAAGGTGAGCCCTTGCGCTCTCTGTTAAGAGGGCAGGACTGGAGGTCTTCGGGGCTGGAAGTGCTAGTGGCTCGTTGCCAGTGGCTGCCCTTCTTAGGGGCGAGCTAAAGCGCTCGTGGCTGATCTTGCATTCAGGGTTTCGGGCGTCGAAGCCCCGGACGAATGCAGGAGCCCTCAACCACTTTAACGAAAATGCAAGCAATGAGCTCAGGAAACACGAGACCCTGAACCCTGGAGTGTCCGAACTTTAGAATCCTGGAACTCTCCACGTCTCGGCGAGGCCTTTTCTTTGGGTGCTGCGCCGCCAGTGTTGCCCACTGCCAGGCATCTACTTTCTTTCTTGTACTATACCGTACTCTACTATACGATGCTATGCTATACTCTGCTATTTGGAATCATTGCCAGTTCGGATTTTGGCCTTCTGCGGTTTGTCTAGGGTTTAGGAAGCAGTAGTTCGAAAGAGAATGCTTGTCAAGGGGCTGGAGCTTCGGGTGTTTAGCCTAGGTTGCTACAAGGTGCGTTTTTGAGCTTGATTTTTTTTGGGGTTGTTGGTTCTGCAGACTCCAGTGTGTTTAGGCTGTTCGAAGCCGTCATGAAAGATCTCGACAGATAGAGCCTGCAACCCCCGGCCGGCCCTGATTTTTCGAAGGAGCGGTTTCAGGTTTATGAGGAGCTAGACACGAAGCCCCTACACCATGAGCCGGTATCAGGACTTTCTTTGTCGTGAAATGTTCGTCAAAGTTGTTCGCAAGTACTCTTCTAATTCATCCTCTGGCCTAGACCGTCCATGCCTCTTCAACCGTAGTGCCAAGGGATCTGGATCTGCGGGCTCGGGGTTAGGGCTCAGGCAGCAAATGGGTTCAAGAATCACAGGAGCATCGATTCACGAATGGCGATTTGTCATCGCCGGGCTCCACCTACATACATCACATATGTCCCAAGGCTCGGACTGCACCCATTCCTATCAGTACCGTGAAAACCTGTAAGGCCAAAGGCCTCTATACTCTATAGAAGTCGAAAAATAAGACGACAAGACCCCTCACAACGCCCCAACAAGCTCACGTCCAGCTAAGCTATGTGCTTGTTTGGATACAGTTGACACCTGAACACTACACGATTTAGGGCTTAGGGCTGAAGACACACTTATCTCTCGTAACATCCCAACTTCGGGCCTCTATAAAGTTGTAGCCCAAGCAGTATGAAAACTCTTTGATAGGGGATGTGCCCGCATCCGTTTCGACCACGATATCAAGCTGTACGAAACCCCGTATGCGAAGCCTTCGTGAGCGCATCAAGCAAGCTTCAAGACATGTTTCAAATAATCAACGTCACGACTTTTATCCCTAAAACCCCAGGGACTATTCAACTTTCTCCTTCAAGTTATTTGGAATATCATCTGCACCCACGGGGCTACTAAGCATATTACCCGCCCAGACCCTAAACCCCAAGAGACGAACACAAGTTGTTGGGTTGATGGCATGCTTCGACAGGCTCACCTCCGCACCTCCTCGGTCAGTCCATGAGACCAGCGAGCGAGGCATTTGACAGCTTGTCCGAGTTCAATCTGGGGCCCCGTAGGTATCTGGTTTTGCGGTTTCTGTGGAAGGTTTCTTGGGTGGGGGTGGAGGGTCGGGTTGATCGTGGCAACTAGGGATGCGGGTTTATAGCTTTGAGATCCTTGTTTGGGACCCCTTTCATCATCATCATCAGCGTCATCATCACCATCACCATCATCATCGTCATCATCATCATCATCATCATCATCATCATCAACTTCTTCTTCTTCACGATTTCCTTCACTAAGATCCAATCTGAAAGCTTCTGTAGGCTCCATTCCGGCACTGAACGCTTGCCGTACACGACCTTTCTGACACAGCCCCTCAGTACCCGAAGTAGCCCAAACCCTACCCTAGGCCGTCCATTGAATACCGAGGATCCTCCTCACGCCTTGTGGAGTAGGGCAAAGTCTATCCTCTTGCAAGTTGGCATTTCGCAACACGCGTTCTCCGACAGTTCCTCAGCTCCGGCCCAAGCGTTACCTGAAACCATGAAGTAAAGAGGCTTGATCTGCCATATGTCCAAGCACCCAATTACTCACCAAAGCTCCGAAGCCCTTGTTCAGCTCTTGAGGGCCCTCTAGGGATGAGGTGAGATTTTTGGGGGGTTTAGGGTTGCTCCATGCAATACTCGACTCTGACCCCCTAAACCCTAAACCCTAAACCCTAAACCCTAAACCCTAAACCCTAAACCCTAAACCCTAAACCCAAGTCTACGGGCGAAGCCTATTTCATCGCTCCTCCGAAACCGAAGCCTGCAAGCAAAGGAAGAGGCGAACCTCAAAGCCACGAGGCTCCAGTTACCAAGCCCGATCACTCCTTGAAGTTTTCCACTGAGTTGCGGAGCCGTGAAATCACGCCACGTGGTATACAAGACTGAGTAACCTTCAAAATACATGAACTGTTGCAGTTGATGTAGGCTTTTTGATCGGAGCAGTTAAGGGCTTTCGTGGAACAGCCCTTGGTCTGGTTCCTGTTTGCCTGCCTCCGCACCCGAGCGGAGACAGACCAGCAATCCTTCCGGAACTGGTCTGTAACACTCCTGAATCCGGACCCGGATTCTCAAGCCATGAGGCGAACTCCTCATCTGGAATCCTTGCAGAGCCCTCGTAAGGCCCTGATGACATTTTCTGGTGCCCATATCACCTTCATTGATGTCCGCACTGTTCCCGCTTTCAAACCCTAAGCAACTGTTGCGTAGGTTCCTCCGGGGCCGTGGCAGCGGCAGCAGCTCTCGTTGCTACCGGAGTAGCAGTGAAGAGGCCATGGACTTTGGGCCTAGGTTTCTAAACCCTAAACTCTAAACCCTAAACCCTAAACCCTAAACCCAAAGTGTGTGAGGCTTCGAGGTTCAAGGGTCTAGGCTTCGACCTCCTCTTGGGCTGATGAGTGGCCTCTGTGTAGCACTGCAGCCTTTCGTCAAGGCCCACGTTGCAAAGGCTTCAGGTTCGGAAACCGTGTCGTTCAGACGTTTAATGCCTGTTCAGTCCAAGTACAGGCACAAAAACCCGTTCGAAGGTCATTTGTAGCCGTTGAAGTCTTTAAGCCAAGTTAAATGCCCAAAGCTCTAAACCAGAAATTCTGAACCATTGGCATGTCGCTCCTTTCAGCGAGGCAAGTGGCCCGCGAGCATTGTTTGCTACGATCGTTTTCACATGCTCTGATTTACAGGAAGCTGGTGTTTGGAAGGGCCGAGGGCCTGCCACAATGTTGGGTTTCTTGGTATCGGGCTCAGCGGCAGTAAAGCCAAAATCCCCCGAATTGCGGCGTTTTTGTACAGCCATTCGCCTGTTAAGCTTCGGACGTGCGTGCGCTTGACCGGCCTCTATCTCTTCTGCACCTGCACCCTATGTGTTGCACGCTCATGCCCTCAGGCTTGGTGCTTCAAGCATTGGTTTCTTGGAGTTGTGTTTTCTGATCTAGATCTAGTCTCCATTTGTTGCATCATTATAGTACCCCTTAACCCTCGGCCACGAGAAGTCCTGAGAAGAAGCGGCCTAGAGGGTTCAGGAACATTGGGTTTCAGGGCTTTGGATTCAGGGTTTTCAGCTTAGGATTCAGATCGTCCTAGATATCCCAATCATTCCCAGAGAATATAGAGTGTAAAGTCGTTAGCGGAACAGGGCACGCCCCTGCATGTAAATCCACTAATTATGCAGTTGCAAAATCCTTGGACCTTGGTTTCGGAGGGGTTCACGGATATACTTCTAAGGCCCTACAACCCTAAACCGCCAAGTCCAAGCCGTGAGTCCTAACACCCTATTTTCCCAACCCTACGGTTTCAAAACCCCAAACCCCAGACCCTAAACCCCAGACCCTTAAAACAACCCAGACCCTAAACCCCACACCCTAAAAAAAAACCCAGACCCTAAAGAAAAAAAACAAAAAAGCTGTCGCGGGTCAGGCGGCCCGCAGAAGCCCGCGCAGCTGCCGTGGCGATGAAGGTGGCGGTTGGGTTCTTTGAGGGCTTCTAAACGGTAACTGTAAGGCGATACGGGTAGCAATAAAGAGCTGCTATAAGCATTCCATAAGGTAGCCATAGAAAGGGCTTCAAAAAGGTAGCTATAAGTTATACTATAGCGGTTATTATACGGAGTTCTAGAAGGTAGCTGTAAGGGTTCTAGAAAGTAGCTACAAGGGTTACTTCAGGGTTGCTACGAGGGATACTACAAGGTTCAGGCGCTAGGGGTTTAGGGCTTTAGGAAATTCGGGCTTGAGGACTTCGGGTTTTGAGGGCTTGGGTCTTTAGGGTCTTAGGGTCTTAGGGTTTGCGGTTTAAGGATTTTGAGCTTTAGGATTTCATTGTGTACACGTTCATGGTGTAGCGCCCAGGGGCTGCTAATCTAAGGCCCGAGCCCCAGACCCGACCTCAAACTTCCAAGCGCATCCACCCTCGGTGTGGGGTTGTTAGATTTTAAAGCTCTTACTCCTCGCCCGCTGAGACTACCTCCTGGGTCCTGGAGTGCCCAACCGCACAGACTCCCGTGAGACTCCCTGGACTGCCCAACCCCACAGACTTCCGTAAGACTCCCGTGAGACTCCCTGGACTGCCCAACCCCAAAGACTTCCGTAAGACTCCCTGGAGTGTCCAACCCCACAGACTACCGTGACACTCTCGTGAATGGCATCAAGCGAAAAAGAATTACTTCAATAATACTTTATGTGGTTACTATATTATAAATCAAGGGGTATATAAGTTTTTTGTTGAAATAATATATCATTAAAAAAGCGACGACAATGATAATTTCCCTCTTGAGCTTTTATATTCAGACGAAGCAACGCGTTTCTTAAATGATATGATAATTACAAGTTCTTTATGAATAATCTACCAATGATAATTAACAATAAAATACAATTATCATTGAAACAAACAACCCCCCTGCCCCATACAATTCCCCATGAAATGAATAACCCTAAGCTTGCCCGTTTCGGGAATTACATCCCCTGATAAATAGGATGAGGTAAAATAATAGGCCAGTAGTTGCTGTTTATATGATCTATTAGTATAAGTTCTATATGGTAATGTAGATTTGAAGATGATTGGGCATAATGGGCTCACGGTGATGTAATTTCCCAAAATGGGCATGCACTTCCCTGACTATTACACCTCGGATCTGTCCTTAGCACAGGTTGAGGCAACAGCGCTGACACGAAAAGTCGGGTCCGCCGTCGTATCCCTGGGCCTGCTCAAGGTGGGAACGAGAGGGTGGTTAATATAATAACTAGGATAGGGTTTTGGGGGATCCTTATTCGAATTATAGCATACTGGGCCCCAAAACAAATTATTCTAATTATATCTAATTATTCAGGCCCCTACATTAGGGACCCTGTCAACTCCCAAGCTTTCAGCTTTCAAATCCACGGGGTGGACATTGGCTCGTCCGCTCATGGCTTGTGATAGTTTTCGGGGTTTGACTGTGCATGGTTCAGGAATGCTAAGATTCGGGCTTCCGAGGTTTGTATTTCGGAGTTTAGGGGTTGAATATCCAGAGTCTCGAATTTCGGGTGTGCGGACAATTTGGATCCCGAAATCGTCCGATCAGTAGGCTTTGGCTGCTTGGGTTTCCGAAAACGGCTTGACTGCTTGGATTTTTGAGGGTGCTGAGGGTGAGGAGATACTTCAAGCCGACAGGAAAAAGAGAGGTTGCAAGTCTTTCTGCAGGAGACATGCCTTGCACATCGTCTTTTGCAACTTCAAGGGCGAAACAGAGAATTCGGGGAAGATGCTGAAGTGCAGCACCCCAAATCCAGAGTTCCCACCAAAATACTCCACGATAGACCTGTAATCCCAACCACCCCAAGCCCTGAGCCGCGAAATCCTGCATCCCTGAGACGCAAAAAGGCCCACGACCCTGAACCAAGTAAGCTTTGCGGTTTGCAAGCCCGAGACCCCAATATCCTCGTGGAGGTTCTGGCATCGCGGATTCATTCATGGTGGCGCGGCTGATAGAACGACATGTACTGGTGCAAATACCTTAACGACTATCTTGTCTTAGGGTTTAGTTCGCTGCCGTGCACAGGTTTCATACGATTCTTGCTGTTGTCCCCGATGGTTTCATGACCGTACTGGTGTGGAGATTCCCAACGGTCTAAGTGACGGGCAGCCAGTTTCTTCTCTCAGGTATCACACCCAATGCAATTGCATGCTTAAAGGGTCATGGGACTTGGCAAGTAGGTTGGGAGTAGGTTTGCAGGTCGTCCTGCTATGTCCCCAGACCCTTTTCGAGGCGGGCCCGAAAGGCCACCCAGCGAGCTGCACGCAAGACCACACATCGGGTGGCTGAGGCTTTGGGGCCATCGTTCAGTGTAGCTCCTAAGATACAGAGACTACAAATCAAGAGGTAATGAATTTCTCCATGGCAACAATGTCAACGAAAAGCCTGTGAAAGTTTACGACGGCCTTTCAGAGGGTGAGGTTCGGATTCAGCAGGACTTCGGGCTTCAGACTGTTTTGAGTTCGGGTAGCGCTTCGCTTTGAAGTCGGGGCCTGTTTTAGGAAGTGGATGGAACGAATCGGGCTCAGCGTTCACTAGTGCATGTACTGTCTTTTTCCGTTCCTACTGCCCGGCTGCAACTAGCGTGGCAGTGCTGGGACGAAGCAGCTCCAGGGCCGCCCTCCGTGACTTGGAGCTGACGTGCACAACGCTGGGCGGACGAAGAGAAGGAAACCTGAGACTAGGATTAGGAGGTGGGGCGAGAGCAGCAATGAGGATGAGGCGACTAGCAAGAACCAGCACAGATGACGACTAAAGATACTGACACCCGTGTTCTTCAACTCCTTTAGGAAATTCAACATCTCTTTGGCAAACCACCTACGGCCTGTAAGCCCGAAATGTTTTCTGTTACAAACCCTGAAGCGTACAACCACAAGATGCCCAAAGGTTTGAGACGCCAAAGCGGCCCTATGGCGATGGATCCGTTGGCAGCGCCTACGATGACTGGACCAGAGAAGGTGCCAGAACCTCAGCGTCTTCTTGAAGGGCACGCTGTCGGGCTTGGGAAGTTCGGGAGTTGAGGGCTTGCTGTCTCTTTACGGTTCAGGCATGGTGTGCTTCATAGGTTTCGGTGTCGTGTTTAGGGGGTGGCCCTACTTCGTGGAACGGAGAGTGTATCGCTGTATTCCTGTTAGGACCTGGGGGGAGTCGCGTAAGCCCTGTGCCTCGGAGGTCCGAGCTCAGAAGCCCTTAAGCTTTAAACCCGTAAGCCCCTGAAGCCCAAGGGCTTGAGCCACTCTGAAGCCTTGCAAACTCTATACACCAGACGAAAGCCTGAAGCCCGGAAGATAAGGTCTTGGAGCACTACTGGGGAGAGCACATCCACATGGGCCATGCGCTCAGAGCGACTGCAGCGGACGAAAGGACGGTATAGGGGGCTCGGGCTTCGGAACTCAAGGAGTCTCGTAGGGTTCGGAACTCCCGAGGCGTTTGGTGCAGGATGTTCCGGGTTGACGGTTCATTCTGTTTGCTTCAGCCCGTGGCCCTGACCGATCGAGGAGACTCGCTTCAATGTCTTTGAGCCGACTAGCACCCAAACCGAAGTTTGCTGAACTGCCAGGTCTGTGCTCTCATTCCCAAGCAGGGAGTGAAATCCAAATTGCCGGATGCCTCAGGCTCATACACTCCGATGGAGAAGCAGAGTGGCTACCGCAAGAAGGCGAGCTTGGCTAGGGATTCGGGATTTTCGGGATTCTTCTATATCGGTCGGTTTTCATGTTAGGTGCTCATATGGCTTTTGGAAGGGGCATTATCTAATTCCTCATCTGGGGACTTGGGGGTTTGGGCTCCAGGGCTTGTTTATCCCCCCCGTTGAGCCTCGCAGGTCTAGGGAGTGGAGGGTAGAGGGTTCCGGTTTCGAGTCATCGTAGTTGTTTTTTTGATTGGTTGTGTGGGTTTGAGGAATTCGAAAGGTTGTTTGGGCTGTTTGGGGCTTAGTCGTTCTGTTCGTTCTTCTTTAGAGTGGTTCTTGTTTAGAGTGAGAGAAAAGGCTTCCATACCAAGCCCGGAGCAAAAAGCTGCAGCTTCTTTTGTTGGGGCTCTTCGCGATCTGAAATCCTGAACTTCATATCCAGTCAAGAGGACAGCTTCGTTGGCTTTTTGTGCAGCTTCAGCGTCCCGGGTGCCGACGACCCTGAAACGGTCATCCCTAGAACTCCCCGTCGTAACTCCCCAAAGACCATAAAGCCCCAACCCCACACCCGAAACTTTAGCTCCGACGCCCTGTAAGCGCGGAGAATTTCTATAGGGGCCTTAATGATTACCTGTGCTATTTTGTGGGTTCCTTCTGATAACTATAGTAGCATGTTTGGAGGTTCCTTATTACAACTATAGTAGAATGAGCCCCAAAACCCTATTCTACTTATGAAGGCCCCTACATTACACCCCAAGCATCCCTAATGAAAAGCACAAGGCCCCCCCGCCTCTTTGCGTAGGATCCCTTCTTCCTGGCACTCTTCCGGGCGACCTTTGGCCGGCTCAAGAACTTCAAGGAGGCCCCGTAGCTTTTTTGTTGAAGTGTGGTGCTTGAGGTTTAGGGTTTAGGGTTTAGGGTTTAGGCTTTAGGGTTTAGGGTTTATTGTTTAGGGTTTAGGGTTAATGTATTACAGAATGTTATACTTGTAGGGCAGTAGTCTGATGATTCTCGTCTTATGATTATTGTTCGTACTGTTGCGAAACGAAACCAGTGCAATGACGAAGCGGAAAATGACTATGATTGAGGTTGCAGGAGGGTTTCGGGATGTTGGGGGTCTCCAGGAGAAAACCGTCACACCCTACACAGAATCCTTGAGGTGTTGCTAGGGGTGAGGTGGGCCAGCCTAATGTCAGGACACCTTGGGCGCAGCGTTTAGACCAACCGCGGATGATTGGCAAACCTAACAAACGGGCCTAGATAATTACCTACATTTTTTTATTTTTTGGGGCTCCTTGTTATAATCATAGTATCATGGGCCCCAAAACCCTCTTCTAATTAGTAAGGCGCCTACATTCGCCAAGAAGCCGCTCATGCAGTTGCACTTGAAGTTATCCTGGGAGCTCTGAGTCACCATAGGGGTTAGGGTTTAGGGTTTAGGGTTTAGGTTTTAGGGTTTAGGGTATAGTAGAAGCAAAAAAAGTTGGAAACCCAATAGCCTGAATCCCAAGAGTGATGTATAGGGAATCCCAGCCCTATTTGTCCCCAATCCGGTTTCCAACTTTTTGGGGTTTACTGTATGTCGCATGGATCGAGCAACCGATTTGGGGATTATAGGAGTTGTTGGCACCCTAAAGCCTAAATCCCAGTGCAGTCACTCGAGGCTCTGCAACAAGGTTGAAGGCCTGCATAAGAAATCCCCGCATACGCTACTAACCCCAACTGCCGTTCCAGCCTGTGCAATCATAGAGTGGGTCGCCCGAGGGGCTGCTCTGTAGCTTCTGAATCATTCTATGTCGAAGTGGGGGTTTCCGAAAATAGGGGACCCTAATATAGTACCCTAAATAGTAGGATCCTTATTATAAGAACCCCAAATAAGGTACCCCTAATTTTTCGGAAACTCCCAAGTGTCCCGCAATATGCCACTCTGCCGATTGCAGTTTCGGTTGCGTCGAGACGGGGCCTAGGCGTGCTAGAGTTCTGGGTTTGGGATTCGCTAACGAGGCAGATGCAGCACTTGCCATTTTTGCCGAAAAAATGCAAAGAAAGCTCAAGGCCCTCGATGCAGGCGAGTTGGTCTTAATTCAGTCGCACCTGAACAGCCTGGTAGCCCGCACATGCCTCAATGTTCTTGCGCACTTCCTACAATCTTCTTGCGACAGGCAAAGATAGACTTCACGAACGAAATGATCGACTGGAGCCGTGACTCGATCTGCATGGAACAGCTTGCATGCCTGGCACATCCGCATTACGATGTCGTTGCTTGAGGGCAAGTAAAGGTGGCCTGTTTTGACATCCGAAAGCCTTTGACGCTAAACCCAACCAAGACACCCTAAACCCTAAACCCGGCACCGCGCTAACTCCAAAGCTCGAAAGCCCTAGATTGCCAATTTATCGCTGTGGCCTAGAACGGTGAAGACTTCTTGTGTGCGAAATGCTAAAAACCTGAACGCCTCCGCAGAAAGTCTGTAGGTAGAGCTACAGACTTCAGCTTCAATGAATCCCTCAACCTCGAACGAAGTTGCTTAATCAAGCCTAAACCTCGGACACCCAGGTGCCAAAGCACCGAAGAAGATCTTGGATGTAGGCGCGGATGGCTTAAAAATTGAGTTCAGAAGGTTTAAATTTTAGGGATTTAAGTTTCCGGTTCTTGTTCGCTTGCTTCGCGATCGGGGGGCCTGCACGAATGGCTTTCGTGCCCACGTGATGATGTCGTCCATTTTCGATTGGGGATCCAACCACGTGTCGCAATGCATCCTGAAATTCCGGTTCTGAACCGCTGCGAAACTCCTTGGTTGCGGCTTAGGGTTTAGGGCTTAAAGTAGTTTGCAGGATTTCACACTCAGACATGTTTCCGTGAAGCTGAGTACTTTGTAGGTGCAGAAGACAACCCAGCTATGTTGTGCATGCATCACCGTTTAAGGTTTAGGGTTGGGGTGTTAAAATGCACGGCTTTTCTGGAGGGTTGAAAAGTTCAAGATGGAAGAGTCTGGCTACTAGATTCAAGAGAAGTTCAGCGGGAAGAGTGATAGAAACCGTAGGCTCTAATATTGGGAGTAACCTCGCCTCATGTGGGATACTCCGGAGTGTCTGCGGACAGGCAGTCAGTGCTCAACTGTGATGTGATGGGGAACGGGTAGTACGAAAAATGTCGCGAACTCCATGCATGTTTTCAAGCGCGCAGCCGCCGAACTTTGCAGGGTTGTAGAGTGTTCGCAGCCTTGTGCCAGTGGCAACGCGGCGTATTTTGAATTTGTGGATAGTTGTTATCCGATCCATGCAAGTAATGCTACAACAAGCGTAGGATCCCAACCCTAACAGGGCTGCGGGGCCCTTGCTTGGCGAAGTCGCAACCGCATGGCCGGCACACTTTTAGGTTCAAAATCCAAACCAAGCCCCCTCGAAAGCACACCAAGCGACGACAGCCGCGAGGCTGTGGCATCGGTGGCTCCTCCAGGACTCAGAGTTGCATCTTCATGCTGTAGCTGCTAGATTGGGCTTTCCCCTAAGCCCTAAATCCCAAGGATTCAAGCGCTCAGTGCGGCAAGGGATCTGCAGCTGAGGGTTTGAGACCCTAGAAGGCCGCGGTGTAGGCTTTTAGAAGCCGCCGCGTCCTTGGAAAAGGATCCTCGGCAAGCGGTTCCCAGACGCAGAGGTGGGAGTTGGTTTCTGTGTTTTGGATGTTTAGCTCGGTTTCAGGTGCAGGATGTGTGTTCCTGAGTCGGCACTAAAGTCACTAAAGCCCGCCGACTATCTGGGGCTTCTTCGTGCCGACCTTTTCGTTCGTAATGTTGACCTTGTAGTTGTTGTCATGCTGAGGGGAAAGTTTTAACAAGAGCAGCCAGATTCAAAACGCCTTTCAACGAGTACTAGCACCGGCAACTTCGACTGTTGCCGCGCATTCATGAGATCTTCGGTGTGCTTAGCGCAGCATCGGCAAGTATCCCTGATAGGAGCAAGAGAATGCAAGGTTTTCGGCTTTCGGTTCAGGAGAAGCCGGGTAGGCTTGGCAAAGTTTCTCGTCACTTTGATTTAGTAATTTAGTGAGCTTCTGCGCAATGTGTCTTGTCAAGCATCCACTAAGACGGCTACCCGAAGATCCACTCCTCAAGCCCTAAGCCCTAAATCCCTAAACCCTGAACCCCTGTGACGTGAACAGCGACTCCGACTTGGAAGTGCTCCGCATGAAACCTGCGCCCAAGCGACCAAGACGTTCTTCTGTCCCCGTGGTTCCCTTGAAGTTAGATACCCAATCCGAACGCCCAAAACCCTGAACCCTAAACCCTAGAACCTTAAAACCCTAAAACTCTAAACCCCAAACCCTAGAACCTGAAAGCCCTAAACCCTAGAACCAAAAAACTCTAAAACTCTAAACCCTAGAACCTTAAAACCCCAAACCCTAGAACCTGAAAGCCCTAAACCCTAGAACCTTAAAACCCTAAAACTCTAAACCCTAGAACCTTAAAAGCCCAAAACCCTGAACCCTAAACCCTAGAACCTTAAAACCCTAGAACCTTAAAGCCCAAAACCCTAAACCCTAAACCCTAAACCCAAAACCCCAAACCCTAGAACCTTAAAACCCTAAACCTAGAACCTTAAAGCCCTAAACCCTAGAACCTTAAAGCCCTAAACCCTAGAACCTTAAAGCCCTAAACCCTAGAACCTTAAAACCCTAGAACCTTAAAGCCCAAAACCCTGAACCTTAAAACCCTAAAACTCTAAAGCCCAAAACCCTAGAACCCGAAAGCCCAAAACCCTGAACCCTAAACCCTAGAACCTTAAAACCCTAAACCCTCAACCCCTAAACCCTAAACCTCTGAACTCCAAAACCCTGAACCCTAAACCCTTAAAACTCTAAAACTCTAAACCCCAAACCCTGAATATCACGCAGGGCGGCCCCCGAGGTCGGCGAGTCCAGGCGTGAGGCCAAGTGGAAGCCACGAGGAAACAGGTCCTGGTTTAGGGTTTAGGGTTTAGGGTTTAGGGTTTAGGGTTTAGGGTTTAGGGTTTAGGGTTAGACTTTTATTTCATAATGGTTCCTTCAAGGAACAGGTCCCAAAAAAAGTATTAAAGTATGGTACTCCAAAGCCCAGGGTCTTCTCCAGCTCGTAGCGAAAGGTGGTGGGGCTCTTTGGCGCTTTCTGCAGCCTTAGGGTTTGGGGTTTAGGGTTTAGGGGCATTTAAGTTACCATATCCAGATCTAAAACACATAACTAGCTTAATGTAGGGGCCTTAATAATTAGAAAAGGGTTTTGGCGCTCATGAAACTATACTTATAATAAGGAACCCCCAAAATAATAAGGTAACTACTTACGCCCCTACATTATCTTCCTTAGGATGGCAACTGAAAATCAAGCCCTCAACAGAAAGGCAATTTGGGTAACGTAGGGGCCTTACTCATTAGAATAGGCTTGGGAGTCCTTCATAATAAAAACATTATCAAGAACTCCCAAGATAATATAGGTAATTATTGAAGCCCCTATGTTATTTGGGGCTTTAGGCTGTAGAGTCGGCATGGCAGTAGCTTTATAAGGTGTAGGTTTCGGGCTCTGGAGTTGAGGGGTTTTAGGGTTTAATGTTTAAGATTGAGGGTTGAGGGTTGAGGGTTGAGGGTTTAGGGTTTAGGGTTTAGGGTTTAGGGTTTAGGGTTTAGGGTTGAGGGTTGAGGGTTAGGGGGGAAGTCTCGGGTTCAGGGATTCGGGTTTAGGGTTTAGGGCTTGGGCGTTTATTTTTTTGCTTAAGGGCCCTCCCTGTTGGCTTGGGGGTGTAGGGCTTAGGGCTTCGGGTTGTAGGGTCTAGGGGTTTAGGTTTAGGGTCCAGGGTTCGCTTGCTCGACCCCTGTGCATCCGGGAACTTACAACTCCAAATACCACCCACCTACCAAATCCTACGATCTTCCATGGCAACACACCGTATGAAACCCTGATGGGGGGTGGGCGCCCTCATGAGACCCTGAATCCTGACACCTAAAGCACCCAGCAAGCCAAGAAGCAGCTGCTGGCTTTTGAAGGACGACGTGCCTGGGTTGCTGCAAGCAGGCGAAGACACATCTACCAACCCTAAACCCTATAAACCCCAAACCCTATAAAAACCCTCCACCCTATAAACCCTATAAGCCCTAAACTCTACATCGTCACCAAAGCTTAAGCCCTAGATTCCCCTAAACCCTAAACCCTAAACCCTAAACCCTCAACCCTAAACCCCAAACCCTAAACCCTAAACCCCTAAACCGTCCCTAGATCTTCGCCGAAGCACCCAGCACCTGCCCAAACTTCCGGGAGCTCCGCAAGCTGGACCAACGAAGCTCCGCAAGGCACCAACCCCGCTGCAAGTACCTCGGATGTCGAAGAGCAGGATTGCGGGCTTCCGGGTCGGGGCTTAGGGTTTAGGGTTTAGGGTTCAGGGTTTAGGGCTTATGTGGTTGAGGGGTTTGTTTAAATGCACTAACCCTTTCTCCCGCACGAGGTCAAAGGCTCGCTCAGTTCGAGGAGGGTTTAGGGTGTAGGGCTTATAGGGTTTATAGGGTTTAGGGTTTATAGGGTTTAGGGTTTCTATGTGGATCTAGAAGGGGCTCATGAACGATTTCAGGTTCAAGGCTCAGGGTTTAGGGCTTCGGGTCTCACTCGTGGGGCTTGCTTTCCGAAGGGTCCTGAAGATTCATTTCCAAATCACCTACCTTTGTATGGCTCCTTCTTGTAGTTTCCTTATATAAGTTCTTATAGTAAACCCCAACAAAGTTGGAAAACAAATTAAGGACAATTAGTGCTAGGATTCCCTCTACATTACTCTTAAGGGTGGAGGCTATTGGGTTTCCAACTTTTGGGATTCTAATTTAAAAAATGTAGGTCATTCAGGGTTTAGAAGGGTAACTCGGAGAATCCTTCGGCTTTCCTTAGGGATGTCTCAAAGGAGCCCTTGAAGAGTCCAGCCCGTACAGGAAACCTAGTCTAGAACCCTCGAGTGCCCTCAAAAGGGGTTTAGGGTTTAGGGTTTAGGGTTTAGGGTTTAGGGTTTAGGGTTTAGGGTACAGAACCCTCTAGCACCCAGAAAGGAGCTTACTGGAGACCCGTAAAGGGTGCTTGGCTGTGAGTCAAAGGATCCTTGGATTGTTACTGGAGGGTTTTGCAAATAGGGCTTAGGGTTTACAAGGCTTAGGGTTTAGGAAATAGGGTTGACGACTTGGGGTTTAGGAAATAGGGTTTAGGGCTTGTGTTTGGGACACAGGGTTTAAGCTTTCGGGCTTGGGTTGCTTCACATCCTTGGCAACTTGGATTAGGGGTGACGGGTTCCGTGGCTGGGACGCACGGCTTCGGAACGTTGCCGAAGGCTACAGGAAGCTTGTTACTTGGCTTATGGATGCGAGTATGCGTAATGTAGGGGCCTTCATAATGAGGATTGGGGTGTGATTTGGGTCCATTATACTATGACTGTAATGAAAAAAGCCCCTCAAAACCCTAAACCCTAAACCCTGAACCCCCGTATATTGGGAGAACCCTAAACCCTAAACCCTAAACCCTAAACCCAAAGGCCGAGACACTCTGTTGAGTTTCCTTTCAGCGCACCTGGCTGGCAGCGCTGGAGGCCCAC